GTGAAAGCCCTTTACATCATCTGAGTCCATCTTTCACTTATTTAGAAAGCTGGGTTTCTATTTTCTGTTGTTTCTTTTCGGCTCCTTGAGCCCATGTGTCAGCTGAAGTGCATTTATAAATCCCAGCATTAAAAGGTTTCCCAGTTGTAATGAGAAGCTTTGTGATCCATCATTGCTCAGTGTTGTATCAGCTCGGAAGTCCCTCTACAGCTGAGTGCCAGAATCTATGGCAGCAGAGCAGAGGTAGAAGAATCATCCTACAGGTTTAATTTTTTTCAGTCTTCTGCCCTAAACTTGTAATATTGGCTGTAGTTAGCAAAGGATACAATTTGACATTAATTGTTATTTAGTCTTAGTGCAGTTTTCTGCAGGGTTTTTTTCACATGCATATCAAAATTTTATTTATGTTAGGAGGGTTTTCTATCTGCTCAGCCACACTTCATTCTGCCCCCAAAGACATGGTCATATTTCTGCCTTTTCTGGGAAGCTACAGAATTTTGACTCAGAATCTTTATAGAGGGCTCCAGCAATTGTTTAGATCTTGTTCTAATTATTTTCTGGCCATTGTTGAGCTTTGTGAGTACCTCCATTGTTTGTTCCAGTTTGATTGCAGATATCAGCTTATCTCTTCTCTTCTGGGAAACTTGATTCCTCTGGTGATATTCGCCTGCCTCATAGCCAATATTTGTGGTGTGTGAGATTGTTTTCACTGGAAGGAGAGATTGGTGACCTGTATTTCTTCAATGCAGTCATGTTTCCTTGTGGAGAATGTTAGCAGAGACCTGCAGCAATGAACTTTGTTCACAAAGCCACGTTCCTTCTGAAGTAATTCCGCCCCTTTTTGGTGGTTTGATTTTATAGGTGTTCTTTGTGGTGTTTTCTGCCTGCCACTGGTTGTTTCTGTCACTTGTGCAGGCACATCCAGGTCTGCTGTGCCATTAGCAAAATTTAAAGTGTTAATTCAGAGCCCAGCCAAACCACCAAAGACAGATTTATATGACATGTAGATTAGTTACACAAACATTAACTTCTGTTGTTAAATTAAAGAGCTTTTTTTTTCATCTCCCATTTATCTTGAATAAAATGTTTCTACCAAACCCATCATCTTCAGACAGGTTTGGAAATATGCATGTACCAAACATACTAGACTTTGAGACTGAATCTTCAGCCAAATAATGAGATATTTTGACTCCATCACAAGCCTTTATGCAGACCTATTGGGTGTTTGATAGTGCCTAAGGCTTAATATGCCTGATTTTTCCCACTTGGAGAAACTGAAATAGCAGTAATTAATTATTCAACCATCATTAAACTAGAGATGTTAGTGTCTTTGAAGTGCATTTGGGTCTTTCACTGTAAGTAATCCAAATGGCAAAACTAAATTAATTAATCATCAAGTCTTTCCTCACTGAGCTTGTGGGAAATCTGTTCATCCATTCATCTGGAAGAGAAATATTCAGGGAAATAAGATTTCAGGGACGTTTCATGTCTTCCCCCTTTTAAAAATGAGCAGATCTTCTCTGTTCAGGATATGCAGGATGATTATGCAGCTATCAAAGAGGAATTAGTTAAAGCAATTAAGCCAGGCAAGAGGTGAACAACAGCATCTTTAAATGATGGGGAGGTTTAGGAGTTTGAAGTAATATCTTTCCTTTAGTGCAAATGTGTGTGTCTCTTTGTAGGCAGGGAAACCAGGGGTGCTCTCTCAATAGTGTTTTCTCATATGCCAGCAAGAATAAAAATAATTAATGTATGGTTTATTTTCTAATGGCAACAGGAATTATATTAAGCTTTGCATCTCTGAGCTGACCTGAGGGCTTGGACAGATGTCTGCTGATCCTTGGCAGATCCTTGATTTTGCAGAAAAGCTGTGGTGTGACTTCCCACTGGGTGGGTGGTGCTCGCTGGGGTCAGCATGACCTGGGCCACACATCCCTGCCCATTGGCCCCACAAAGGCTCTTTGTCACTACAGCTGATGGGCTTTGTGCTTTTACCTGACAGCTCCTTCTCATGATCAGTCTCTCTAATCTTGACACTTGTTTTCTGTCTAATCTGAACAGACATTTTTTGTGCAGCTAGAGAAATACGGAGGATGGCGTTTTGCCTTCAGTTCATTGACAGCTCTGGTGCCACCCTTAATGATCTGCTTGAGGCTCTAAACTTCTTCTCTAACTTCTCTCCTCTCTCCTGTGAATATTTTAAATATACTTCCACTTATTTTTTGTCCCAGACTTTCAGCTTTATGTCTTTTTCCTTTTCTAGGATGTTCTTTTTCACTGATCTGAAAACTCCTTCTGTGCCTCTACTGTTCTCTGTTACTCCTTCATGCCCACAAGGACTCACTCACTTATCTGTTACTGGGATGTCTCTGAAACATCTTTCTTTATCCAGAATTATGTTTGAAGGAAACTGGCTCTGAACTATCACTGATTTTTCCCAAGGGGCTGGGACACATCCTTGAATTTCAGTCCATTTATTTCTCTCTCTTTCAGTGACGTTTTTTGCAGTAACGTCTCCCAAAACACAGATAAGTTTCTCTAAACTGCCTTCCCTAATTGTTTTCAGATATAAATTATCCATCTTAAAACTCACAAGTCATTATTAATTGAAGGAACTTTTGGCATGTAAAATATGATGTTTAAATGCTTAAAGGAGTCTGGCAGAACATTACTGCCCTACCTTTCCAAATGTTGCAAGATATTCTTGGCTTATAGCATATTATATAACAGAACCTTTAAACACAGATTATCTTTAGAAAGAAAGTCAGTGATTGTTGTCAAACCACAGTGATGAATTAGCTGAAGCTGATGAGATGCATTTGCAAAAGGAGCTGAGCAAGACTGGTGAGAAGCAGTCAGCCTGTTTGGGGAATAACAATGTTCCTAAAGAGAAGTAAACAATGCATGTGGTCCCACATTTATTGTTCTCTTGGAATGAATATTCTGACTTCAGAGTAAACAGAAACTCTATTTACATTATGGCTGTCTGCTTTTAATAGGGCTAACTGAGGACTTCTGCCTGTCAGTATAGCAAAGCAACTGGCCAAAACTGGGATCATGGCAAGATAAAATCAGTTTTCTATTGGAAGTCCTGCCATACAAGCAATTTCTGACCATTTCTGAGTGTTGCTCATGTTTTTCTAGGACTCTTACTGGCATCAGAAGACCTGTCCTGGGAGCAAAGTTAGAGGAACAGACTTTTTATGCCTTGGTTTGCTCATGTATTTTAAATAGATACTATCTCTGAGCACTAAGATTTTAGACTTCCAATCCATGAAGAATGTGTCTTGGATGAACATTCTCATGCTCTTGTAGGGATATTTGTGAAACTTAAATAGACTTTAAAAAATTGTTTCTAACCTGTTAATGCTTTCCCCAATTTCTTACTTATCATTATAGTCTCATGATTTCTCGAAGGAAAAAGTGACAGCCCACTTCTCTTGTGAGTATTTAACAATTCTACGTTTTGTGTGTATTTAATCTGTAGATTAAATATGAGTCCAGACAAAAATTCCATTCCTGTTGGTGAGATTTTGCCCTATTGGTAACTAGCAGCTTGCCAAAGAATGTGGTGGATTCTTATAGTCTTTAAATCAGACTGAATGTCTTTCCGAGAAGGATGCCCTGAGTCAACCACAATTTATTGGAAATAATTTAGGAATTGCTGGGCAGCCTCCTCTGGGCTATGCTCTGCAGATGTCAGAGTAGGTGACTGCAAAGTTTCCATATGATCTTAAAATCTACAAATACATGGCTGATCTTTGAAATACCATGGTCTTATAGAAGTTTTTCTTTTTTTCATCTGGGATGTTTTAAGATCTTTGATGTGCTAATGGTCCAAGTTGTCTGGCTAGATGATAAATCTCAGATGAAAGGAGTAGATGGTGAGTTAAGACTTCTTTCTCACCTCTGCTTGGGAGCTATGGCACATCTTAGTAACTCCCTTAATAAACAGTACGTGTTTTCAAGGGATTGGGCATGGTTTTAATTGCAGCTCTGTAGGAAACTGTTTTTCTGTTTCATGAAAGCGCTCTTGATTTTTCAAAATGTTCTCATCTCCACATGGCTAAATCGTTCTCACTCACACCCCCTCCCAAAATAAGGCTGAAGTTTAAGGCTCTGGGATTATAATGTGGTGTCCCTGTTCTGGGTCAACAGCAGGAGACTCACATTTTGTCTTCCTAAATGTTCTGAAAGAGATGGGAAAGGGACTATGGAGTCTTCCTTGGAAAAAGGCAACTTCTTGTTTTGAATAGTCGTTCAATTCTGGACCCTGAAATTTTCCCTGGAGAAACTGGCCCTTGCTTTCTGGTGAAAATGTGACGTCTGACAATTTGATATTTTGTGGAAGACACCTTCTTTCCCAAATATTGAAGTATATTGTCAGAAAATTCATGTCAAATCTACTAGCAATGATTATGAATAAAGCTATGCTTGGATATAGAGATCACTGAAAGCCATGGTGCTTCAAGAATCTCAAAAGCTTTGTGGACTACCAGAGATAACAAATCACAGCAACTCTGAAGGCCAGGATGAAAACACTACCAAATAGAATACAAACTGTGTCTTCTCCTTTAAGTGTTCACCAGTTTTTTAATGAGTATGTTTACATAATTTGAAACGAGTATTTTCTTTCAGTGCTCATGTATACATAGGAAGAAAAAAGAAAAGAGCAGAACTTTTTCTTCTCAAAATCAGATTTATTAAGTGTAAACAAATTTCCTTCTCAATCTTTCTGAAGCTGGCAGTGCTAAATTTTACCTTTGCAAAAAATATTTAATATAATGTGTGTAAATATTATGTTAAAGGATTCATGTCCTGTTTTAAACAGTGGCAAAAAATTTCCTTTCAGCCTTTAGGTTTTCCACTAATTTATTTCATATTAAATCAGAGCAGGCTAAAAAACTGCTGATCAGATCTTTACTGAGCTTTATTGTAATGTAGTTTAAGTGGATGCAGACGGCTGGTTTTTCCTTTTCTTTATTTCTTCTTTTTTTTTTCCCCCTCCATGTCTGAAATATTATACAGGAGACTGAAGTTCTTGTGGCATTAACATGAGAGTCTCAAAATGGGCTGAAAAATAAATATTATAAAAACATGTCATCCAAATCAAATACTGTGTGAATAAGGGAAACTGGAGAGGTTACAATTGCGGTTCAAGATTTAACATGCAAGGTACCTCAAAAGTTAGCTAAATACATTTCAGATGGATGTAAAATGCAGAGGAAATGTGTTAAGTATCTTCCCTTGGTGAGATCTGGAGCATGGCTCAAATGACACGCTCGAAGGTCAAGTCCCCACATGGTAGCACATGGGGTGATGGGAATAGGCTCAGATCCTTCTCTTGCTTCAACAACAGCATCCCCCTGGTAAAAAGGCCTGACTGTGCTCCATGATCCCCCTCGTGCTCATCAGCAACCAAAACCCCAAGGGTGCACAGGAACAATGCATGGAGCCTTTAGGTTTCCTTACACTAGGGCAAAATCTTTGGCTACTGACTGCTCATGGTGCTTAACTGTGTAATTGTCTTAATTATGCTAAATTGCACTGTGTAGTCCCTTAACAATTATGTGGGTTAGCAGCAGTATTAAATAACAAAAATGGCATAGTGTAGTCACAGCATTGTCTTGCAGAAGCATGAAAGTCAGAAAATAAGGGAGTCTGCATGGGTTTCCCTTGAGGAACCTCCCTCACCACTGCACACAACTGGCAGCTGCAGGAGACTTTAGCACAGAGGGTGATCATAATATCACTGATTTTGTTAAACACTTTTGCTTATGGGACAGCTCTAGCAAAATGCTGACTTTGAAACGTTCACTAAACAGTGAATGTTTGGGCAAACAGTTCTCAGCCTGTGGTTCACCTCAAAGGGCTGATGCTGGCTACCAGAACTTGACTGAGGGGGCTTCAGCTGGTTTGGAGTATAACTGTGAAATCTTACCATGACCATCACAGAGCTGGCCCAATCCAATATTCCAGGATAGTTTCCATGAGCAGATTACTTTCAGGGTGCAGTTCTGTTCATCCATCTTTCCACATTGCTTTGCCTGGAAGCCAGGGACACAGACCCCTGAAAAGAGAAATGAGTCTTCCTCAGTGAAAACTGAGGAAGAGCTTGCTCAGTAATTCTGGGGACTAAAATCTCAATATTTTTGGCAAGTGTCTAGTCTGTGACACTGCTAAGACCTTCTTATTCACTGGTGCTGCAGACCAGTTTCCTGCCTCTCCTACCTAAAGCAACAGAGCTGTCTGGGGCAGCCTCTCCATACAGGTGGGCTCTTGCTCTCAGGAAAAGTGCAATTCCTCCTCCTTTTCCCAAAACATCAACCTGCTACGATACCTCCAATGTGGTAAACAGGTTCCCTCCCCCTTGCACTTTTTGCAATAGTATCTATTTTAATTTAAATATAACAATCACATTTAATGATGTAAAAAAGGTATATTTACAGTTTTTACAAAATAAAATAATAGTAATAGTAATAGTAATAGTAATAGTAATCAGCTCAGCAACCAGACATGGGTACAAGCTTCAGGGAGTTACAGAACCAAGTGCTGTCTTTTGTACTGAACTGTTTGAAGTAAAAATAAAAATAAAAAATGGAGTATTTAAGTATTTGACCAGCTTTACTGTGAAATAATATTGGGAATGAATAGAAAGGAGCTTGTTCAGGTAGAGTTTTCATGTTCATGTTCTTTAAGGGGTTATGTAGGATCCTCTGCAGCTAGAAAGCTTATTGAGTGTCTATTTTTAAAAAGATATTTTTAAGTTATGTATATGAAATAACATGGCCACACCAATGAATCCCATCTTAAATATTAGTGAAGCATTTATGCTTGTTGTCCTAAAGTGCTGCTAAAATCCAGAGCAAGGCCCTTCTTGACTGACTGCCTCTGCCACTGAACCCATTTGTAGAAGCCAGGAGTAATTTATATTATCTCAAAGTAATAACAACTGGTGGAGAAATATTTTTTCACATAACCATCTGTGGAAAAACCAGTGCATTCCTCTTTTTGTACTCTGGGCTAACCTATAAATTAATTCCTTAGGTATTTATAAGGATAGCTCAGTGTGTGTGGGATTTTCTAATAAACCCTCCTAGACCTTCTAGTTTGGGTTTCCTCTAGTGAGGTGAGCACACATATCCCAGCTAAGCCATCTGGACAGACCCTGCTCAGTCTGAAGAATTTGACACTCCTGTAAGGTTTAAGCATTCCTAGAAAATTTTGGATTCCCTTACAGATTGTATTTACATTTTTTAATAGTGTGAGTGTAGCCAAAATGGACTCTGTCTGGAAGAGGTCTCCCGTTTATCAACTGAATACTTACTCTTTAAGCAGTGAAGAGGGCAAACCCTAGAAAAGCAAAGAAAATCTGTTTGAAAGGAGGAAAGAGTGGTATTTTCTTAAGCTGGCATTCCTTCTTGCATTTGAAGTCATATCTTATAAAATATATGGCCAAAGTTCAACATTATGTGGTTTGAGCTTGGCTTCCTTTGGTAAATAAGAGTATGTATTCAGTGGATGAACCTTACTTTAATCTCAAATTCAGACCCAAATTCCCTCCAGACTCTGGGGAATTGTCCTCTCAGGGTTATGACCAATAAAAGGAAAAAAGAGAGAGCTGTATGCAAAGTTCCAGGATGTGAGATTTTGGATTAAGGACATCTCTGTCATGGACAAATCATTCCATATAGAATCTCCAGAACCAACTAACAAATAAACTACAAAAACTTCCAAAAAATGTATTGCAAAAAGGAATGCTCTAATTTTATCTAGGAGTTAACATTCTAAAAATAACCCCAGTCTGTCTCCCTGGACTCACACTCAGTAGTGCTTCTAAAAGCACTCAAATAAAACTTTGCAGTTAAAGAATTGCTTTATCAGCCAAAATTATCTACAAGCAATTGAGGATTTTTCTGGTGAATAAAATATTGCACTGCAAATATTTGCTCTGCTTCAACCTGGCATCGTTCCTGCTCTGAATCTATTGACAACCTGGGGAAAAAGAGACATTACCATTTTGGGCTGTGTCTCAGTATACCTGATCTAGTTTATTCACAGAATATGTTACAGCAGCAATTATCTGTAAAATTACATTTGATACTTTGATAGAAGTACAACAGTGTGTCAGCTCTGTTTCCTTGCAAAAATTGCTTTGATGTGGACATAGAACTCAGTAAGTACAGCTCGTTTAAAGTCAGAAACTTTTCTCTGGTCCCAGCATTACTCAGCTTCCATATTTAATGTGTCCATTTTGACAATTACTGCTGTTCAAAAAGAAATTATAAAGTTAAGTTACCTGTTGATAAAACAATTTACATCAAAGAACACATTCCTAGTGCATTGTAGGTATGGCTGGGGAGGGAGCGTGGGTGGGGAGCCTTGCCAGGATCCCAAGCAAGCATCACTGTGGCTCATCTCACCTGAAGTTTCACCTGTTTGTGTTCCTTGTTTTGGGGGTCTCCTGCAGGCTGTGATTCCCTCTGGGCTCGTGGCAGCTTCAAAAGGATCAGTTGTGGTCAGCCTCAATACCTGGGGCAGTGGGTACTGAGGGGCACTTTGCTTTTTGCCTCTGGAAGGCACAACCTTCAGCCTAAGAGAGAGAAGAGCCTCACAGTCTGTGCTCTCTCTTGCCCTACCACTCTCAAAACTTAATTTCAAAGGGCTCAAAGGTTAATTTACTTGTTTACAGGAGATGTTTCCTTAAGAGAATGGGCTGAGTTTATATCTCACACCCATGAAAATGAGGAGTAATGGCTTTTGTCTTGGAAATCAGTTTATGCTGCTGCAATAAACCAGGAGTTGGCTACTGAGTTCTTTCCTATCATCATTTTAATTCCAGTACATACTTGTATGCGCTCTGCAGTAAAATTAGAGAAAAAAACATCTGGAAAACAAAATCATTACCAATTACAAATTACCAAACCAAATGTTGCCCATTGGCCCAGATTTCACACTCAGGATATTGAAAGCAAATGTTCTGGTGCTATTGAGATCTTGACATGTTTGTGTTTAGCTTGTTGGGTCAGCTGAAATTGCTTGTGTTCACAGTGATCCCAGATGAGAGACGCTTTTAGTCACAGATTATTTAGACTATTCTCAGTATGGGGTACAACTCACAGCTCCTTAACAGCATGACTTTCATAACAATGATATAACCCAACAGCAGGTCCTCTGACCTGACAACATGCCCCCCACCTCAAGGGAATCTCTGTAGCTAAACAAAATATTTATGAACTAGTGGGAAAACAGGAGTCACCTGCTATGGATCTGTCTTTATTTAAGGACAGACAGCACTCTGTGGCCTCTTTTGGTTTCCTGGCCTATTGTATTAGACTTGCTCAGAGACTTGCTCAGAATCACAGAACAAGCTGAGTTGGGAGGGACCCAAAAGGATGATCCAGTCCAGCTCCTGTCCCTGCACAGCAGCATCCCCCAGAGTCACACCCTGTGCCCGAGAGCATTGTCCAAACACTCCCTGAGCTCTGTCAGGCTGGGGCTGTGACCCCTGCCCTAGGGAGCCTGTTCAGATGTCCCTCCTGGCTGCCAGGGCACTGCTGGCTCAGTTCAACTTGCCCCTGAGCAGGGTCCCCGGGTCCCTTTCCATGGCCCTGCTCTCCAGCCCCTCATTCCCCAGCCTGTCCGTACATCCAGGGTTGTCCCATCCCAGGTGCAGAATCCGGCGCTTTCCCTGGTTGAACCTCACATGGTTGGTGATTGTCCAGAAAAATGGTGAGTTTGTCTGTCTGTGAAATGGACATTTTTTCCAGTAGGACACTATGAGAGACAGCGTTAAAACTTTACTAGAATCCAAAATTTTACATTGACTGTGTTCCTGTGTTTAATCAGGTGTGTTCCTTTGCCATAAAAGGCTCTCAGGTTTGATAACCAGGACTTCCCTCTCATGAAGCTGTTCTGGCTGTGATCGATCGCTGCATTGTCCTTCAGGTGTTTTCAGTACCTCCCAGAATAATCTCCAGCTTTACCAGGCACTGAAGTGACACAAACAGCCTGTAGATTCTGAGGTTCCCTTCTCGCCTTTCTTTCACCAGCTGCCAGTCAGCTTCCAGTCAGAAATCTTATTCTTCATGTGCATCTTTGTCTGTAGACAATCCACCTTTTCCTTCATCTCTATCCTTTAGATAGTGCTTTGGAATTCCAAACCTGCTGCCTAAAGTAGGCTGTACCCATTAATATCTGGCTCTGTATTGTGTTTTTACCAGACACCTTTCACCTTTCTGGATGAGAGTCACAACAATTCTGGGTGTTGCTTGGTTTGGAGTTTTTGTCTTTCTTAAAATAATTTCTCTATTCAGGAAATACTATGTCAGTCTCAGTAGACTTGTAGGGCCTTAACCCAAAAAAGAAAAACATGCAGCCTCAACCACTCATAATCAGTTTAGTGGATCCATTACTCTACCAGCACATGCAAATTTGGTCAAAATGAAACACTTCAGAAAATGTATTGATTTTGTCAGCACTTTAGTTTAAGAAAATAAAAAGGGGAAAGAATTTCCGTCCTGTTGAAATGTGCTGTTTTAAAAATACTGCTATTTTGGGCTTGGTTTTGTTTCAGAGAAACTTTTCTTTGGCATTTTAGCATTGTGTTGTTGGGTGTTTTTTTAACAAAGTTGAAGTAAAAATCAGAAAAGAAGTGGTTTTCTTGAATTCTGAAACCTGCAGGTTTAATTTCAAAAGAAAATAAGACGCATATCTAGTTCAGCAGCAATCAGGACTCGTTTCAGCAGAGATCTACTCTAAGCCAAAAAGCTTAAGTAACATCCTTACCATCTCACATCCTCCAGCTCTGTCTGGGGAAAGTGGGACTGCAGGGGATTCAAATAACAAATTAACGTGGAATCATTACGAGTAATTTGAAATGAGATCTTTCTGCATGAACAATAGATCCATCTTGAGCCCCCTTCTTTCCCACAACTGTCAAACATGCTTGTTTTTATGAGGCCTGGGATAAAACTCAGTTTGACTTCTTAATAACATCTTTGTATCAAAGCAAGTGAATGTGGCATAGATTCTGAAGAATTACTATGTACGTGCAAAATCTGAACTGACTTTTATGTCACATTTTTGCTTTCTCTCTGAATTTCTTTTCACCTCCCCTTTTATATCAAGATTTGAAGACTCTCAGTGTGAAGGATTTTATCTAGAAAAAGATAACGCATTGAAGAAAATGTGGGGTTGTTTAAAATTAAAATCTGTTGTTGTTGACAATATTTGATGAATTCTGACTGATCAATCCTAAGTGATCAGTTGTAAGTAAAGCATTCGATCATTTTTTCAGTCTCCACTGGGGAAAGTAGACAGTCATATCAGCAATATTTTTTCTTATGCCAACACAATAAAATCAGTCTTTAATTCTAATGTTAGAGCAAGATAGTTTTATTATTCTTAGTAACATAGCAGTGTGGGATGCTAAAGGACAGAAAAAATGAGTATATGAGAAGTTTGGTGTCCTTACAGTTCAAAAATGTCATAATTAGGAAAGTCCAGCAAGAACAAGGTGGTTGTGTGTCATCCAATTAATGAGCAATTTAAGTGTAGTCACATGGATGTAAGCAAATATGATTAGGAGTGAAAACTTGCCATGCCCCAGAAGGAATTTTGTTTCAATTCATAAAAGGAACTGGTTGTTTAATTATGAACACACAGAGGATCAGCGTTACAATCAGATTCACTATGTGTTTTAATTCATGAATCAAGCTTTTGTGTAACTGAAAAAAAAAAAAAAAAAGAAGTTGAGATTTAATTAGTGGCATGAGAGTTGGACAACCCAATCTCATTAGGACTAATCACTTTCCAGGAAGCACTGGGCACCGTCTCACACAGCATCTCCCAGAAATGATCACTATTCTGAGCAGGACTGAGCTCAGTGTTTAATGTTGCAGGAAGCTGTCATTAGCTGTGTGGGGAGGACAAAACAGGGACAGAAGGCTGCTATTCTCAAAGTGAGTGTGGCAATACAGGCTCTCACCGCTTCATCTTGCTCATTAATCTCATGGTTTACCATCTCCTCCAGTAAAGGCTTGAACAACAAACTGGATTTTATTAAGAAGGGAAATAGCAGAGGATAACTCCAAGCAAACAAGGAACTTGGGCAGAAAGGAGTCAGATTTGGAGAAGGTGGTGCACAGATGTTTTCAGGAGTTAATACATTCACATTGGAACAGCCATCAAAGGAATCGTGCAGGGCAACAGAGGGTGCCATTGTGCCACTGTGCTACTGGTGTAAACTTTGCTGGGGATGGTTTCCCTCCCAGAGCTAATAGACAAGAAACAATCATATATACATTGATTTTTATATATTATATTCAAATAATATATTTATTTATAAATATTTCAATTTTTTTTCATGGCAATAGGGGCAGAAGGACATCACATGTTTTCACATAAATATATGTGTGTGTATATATATGTATATATGTACAAATAAATGAATAATATACTGTTAAGGGGGTGAATAAATATAAAAAAAGCTTAAGTCCTGGATAGGCTATGATAAATGTCTTCAGAGCACATTCTTTCCTAACTTCATCTGCAATCCACCCTCTAATTTCTTGATCTGGCAAGATATAGGCTCCCAGCTGAGCCCCATCCCTTCCCCTCTCGCAAGTGCTTTGTCATTGGAATATTTCCCCACAAGTCTACTCTGGCTCATGGTCTAGAAGATCAAAGTACTCAGTCATTGACAGCATTTGTTTATAGTAAAAAATGCCATAGCTTCATATCCAGATTTAGCCCTTGTCTCTCAGTGCTGTCGAAAAGGGACGTTTTTAGATATCGATGCTCATTCCTGCTTCTCAAGTTATCAGAATTTACAGTTGTAATGTTCTTACCAACAGAGTAGGCTATTTTTGGTCAGAATGAAGGCACGTGATAGACCAAAGCAATCAAGGCCCTTTACTTTATTAACAGGATGGTAAAAAATAGTCCTAATTAAATATTTTTCAGCTCTCCGAAACATTCCTAAAATAGCCCTTTCTGCGAGGGAAGGGGCATAGGCAGAGGGTGTGACAGGGCAGCGCGGGCCTCATGGCACTCCTCTGTCTGCCTGGATAATTCATAGCACTTGTTATGTGCCCAGCCCAACATACATCTGAAAAAACCTCTCCCTCCTGCCGTGTGCTCCTTCCCCACATCCCAGACAGGCACTTGCACACTCCCTGCGGGATTTGCTGCACGCGGCAGGAGACGCTTGGGGAGTAAAATCACCAATGCCCTTTAAATCACTGCAAAGCGGGTCAAGGTCTTAAGAGCTTAAGAGGAGAAGCTGAGCCGTGCAAATGTTGGTGTAAAAGCTCCATTGTACAAACAAGAGCTGCGTTCCAAGGATGCTGTCACCTTGGATCTCACTAAAAACAGCACCCCCAGCTCCTTTACAACTGCTGAGCTATTTAGACTGCGAATCCTCAGGACAGGCAACCTTTATTTTGAACCTGGTGATCCTTCAGGCTCACAATCCCTTCTCCCACCAGGACACAGACTTAGGTACATATTGTGTTGTTGCAACACAGATCTGAACATGAGTTTTGGGTTGTCTCTGTGTTTGAAAGACAGTAAAGATCCAGAAAATGACAGCTCCCATATATTCATATCTATTCAATATAGTTTTTTGAGCTTTCAGAGGGAGCAGCAATGAGATCAGCTAAGCTCTTAAGTAGTTTAGGAGCACTGAAGTTTTGACCCTGGAAGACTTTATTTTATAGAAGTACATGTCTCTTTTTGTATAGACCCAATTGGAATTACTTCTTTCTCCTGAGTTTTGCTTTGAAGGTGAAGAGGGTCAGGTCTGTAATAAAAATGTCTCATGGAAAGAGAAGTAGAATTTTTAGTGTGAAAAAGTCCAAAATGTATGCAAGGAGGACCCCAAACAATCAATGGTTTGGAGGTAGAGGGGAACACTTCTGCTCCTATGGTTAATGTCCTAAAAAGGACTGAAAAGCTTTCAAACTTGAAAAATACAGAAATTTTTGAACACAAATTAGAGTGATTAACTTCCAGTCAGCAAAAAACTCAATGTGACTAGGGAAGCCAGAAGATAAAGGTTTATTTTTCCACCATATGCCAAACACCAGCATGTGGAAGATGAGCTGTAAATCCAAAACCCAAGCTCCTGTGGAACAGTCTCTCTTGTTGGCCAGGACAAAAGAGAAAGCAGCTTTTGGCTGCAGTGCCCTCCCTGGAATGGTTCAAAGCCAGGTTGGACAGGGCTTTGAGCAAACTGATATGTTACAAGGTGTGGCTGGGGGTGTGGAACTAGATGGTTTAAGGTTCCTTCCAACAAAAACCATTCTGTGATCCTGTGAAGCTGGTTGTGGAAAATGTTCACTCACATTTCTTTGCCAGCAAGCAGTGGTTTTTTGGGCCAGTCAACAAAGTGACTACTGCCACACCACCACTGGGCCACCAACATAACCCACAGTGTGAAGGAGTAACCATGGGTTTTTTTCTGCTGATCATCTTGAATAAAACTTGTGTTGGTGCCATGGAGGCATGAACCTCCACCTACTGTAAATTCATAGGAGCTGTCATGATCAACCAGATTTTTCTTTGGAACAAAGGAAACTCCCCCTTTGAAACCTTTATAAGTTACTCTGGTGTCTAATGTTGCCACCCTCACCCTTTCTGTCCCCTCCTCACCTACCTTTGATGGTGAGTCAGGTATTGTTTGGACGACTTATACACCCAGGTCTCCTAATTCCTCGTTGAAACCAGCCACAACAGGTCAGCTTCTTCTTCACCTGAGCACATTGTGTGCACAAGGACTGATAGTCTTGCTCATTTTCCATAAGCTCCACGGAATTTACGTTCACAAGTGATGTCTGAGTCACCATGGTCCCTCTGAGCCAGCAGCAGGGACAGTAAGTACAAGGTAGAAAAGTGACATCTTCTTTGATATGCACCCTTGAAAGAGATCTGAACACCTCTAATGTTTCCCCTTGCACCTAAAAATTCCTTGAGGTCTGAAGTGCCCAGATTTATTCTTTATAAGTGTTTAAATTCTGTTTTGATATAACTTTTCATCTTCATTTCTGTCTTAGTGTTGAACCAAAAGTGAAGTTTCTATCCTGTGGAAAGTTTTGCCATTTCACGTTCTGTTTCCATTCTCAATCAGAATTAAAAGAATGTGGTTAGAAATTCCAGCTTGGAAAAAAATCCCTCACCCCTGTTGCCCATCACCTGAGCCAACCACATTTAAGTAGAGCTGAAATATTTTTGTCAAACTGCTTTTATTTCCTCTTCCTATAATAGATAAAATAGTTTTAAAAGTTTCTATAATCTTCTTAAACAAGTTAAATTTGTCAGAAGAATTTTTGTTTTGACAGAACAGTATTATTTTAACAAAAGTTACTAGTTATAACAGTTATAAGCTATATAAATATAAGTCATAATCTAAGTCTAGTCTTTTCCTTCCTTCTGCCAAGTTCATGAGAACACAGACATGGAGGAGACCCACACTCTTCTTTCTAAAGGTCTTTTTGCCTCAGCAGAATCCTTTGCCACAAAAAATCTTTTGCTGTGAATGAGGCCATTCACTGATCTTAACTCTCTTCCCCAGCAAAAATAGAGTTCATGGAGAGCTGTTCCCAAGGGAACCCAAAGGGGTTTGTATAGTTGAGGAAACAGCTGGCTGTGGCCAAGATGCTCAGACTTTCTTACCTAGACAATTGCACCTTAACTTGAAACTCTATCACTTAAAACTGCACTTAGTCTGCCGTGCTACACCCATCCTATGATCTGGAATACCACAAAAACCCAGACAAAGTGGTGTGTTGCCTCTTCTGTAAGAAATGCTGTGCAATCACTTCCCAAAAGGGCTGCTGTCATTCTGTGCAGAAGCACAGTCAGGGTTGTTTTCTTAATCCCAGAGCTATTCTTGCCCCTGCCCTCCCATCACTGCAGGAGAAGACTGGTCAGGAAAAACAGAGGCTATGACATGAAACAATTGCACAGCACTGCACTTACAATTCTCAAATGGGATAGCAGTAAATGACATGAACAACCTACTAAAATTGAAAAACTGCAGTTACCACCAGTTTTTACATTGGTATACTTTATCCCTGAATATACATCTGAAATATACCCAGATCATTATGCTGCTTCCTAGTAGCACAATGATTTGGCCTTTTTGCTCCTACAGTTGAGAGAGACAGCTTTATCCTAACTAAAAGTGAGAAGAAGATCCAGATAATTTTTCTGAAGTAAAAGGTGTTTAGGAAATCCTCTACTAGCCATAATCATGAACTTTTCCACCACATTCAAGTTAAATATTAGACAGCTGCTGTTACTACTGAATAGATAGGGAAAAGTGTACTTGACCTTGATCCATCCATGTATGTGCTTTTCCCACTGATAATCCTGGAGTTTCTAAGGTGCTGAAGTGATACCTCTGTGCTGTGCTGTGTGTTCCCCTGTAAAAAGGGTCTCTGGTGGTGAACCTTGCAGGCCAACCCCTATCACACACACTTAGCCAAAGGGTCAAACCCTCTGTGACCAGAGCACAGGGTCACAGAAACACCTCTGTGAGTCTGACACACATTTAGATAATTATCTATTAGATCTTGAAACTCTCAAATCCTCTGGGGCTGACATGCAACAGGAAGGTGGTACCCTTCCCATCCCATCTTTCAGCAGGGGATCCATGTACTTTCTCTGGAAGATTATCCACGTGCCGTTGTCCATCCCTGCATTAATCACATGCCATTATCTAGCTGCCATTGGCTGGAGTCCTGTCTCCAGGGTCTTTTGGTGGGAAAGGCCCCAAATGACCTAGGTCAGGATCCAATCTCAGTGTAAGAAAGAGGCTTATCTCAATTCCTCTTGTTTCAGGCATAGTCCTTCATTTGACACACATGGAAGATATTTCAATAGTAATTATCATCCTCCGATGCCAAAGTTTGCTCCATAAATGTCTCTAAACCAGCTGTTTAGCACACTTTCTCTTCAGCCCTCTCTTTATATGTATATTTGCATGCACACACACACACACAGTTACATGCAGCACGAGACCACACACTGCCTAAACAAGGCTGTGTTGTGTTTTTGCCACATAATACAGTAAGAGTTAATCTCATCCTTCAAGACACAGCACTTCACCCAACTTTCTGTTCTTCACAATTGCTACATGACCTCCTGAGCTGTGGGAACAGCCACAGTGCTACACCACGAGGCTTCCAGGTACAGCTTCCAGGCCTGGGGCAGGGGGAATCCCTGCTTGCTCTGTGGCATCTGTCAGCATATTGCCACAAGCTTTCATTCTATATTTATGAAAAGGTGCTGAGGCACAGCAGGCATTATGCATGATCTTCAGCATAAAAAAGGATCATGCCCTTATCAGTTTCCTGCAGTAATTTGCTAAATGTCATTGGTGTTACCCAGGTCTCATTCTGCAGAGCCCTGGCACGGCGTGGTGCTGCTGAAATGTGGTGCTGTCCTCGCACCCGTGTGTTTGCTCTGTCATGAGATCTCCCAAATGCTGGATGTTTGATAGGCCAGTTAGCTGCCTGAATAAATATTTTCACTTTCTTTTAGTCAATGCTGGAGCCAAACATTCAACTGAAAATAGCTTGGGGTAAGCATTGTTGGTTTAAAATTAATTTTGTAACAGATTCTGTTTGTGGAATCATTGATCAGTGTTCCTGTGCTGGCTTTGAAAACAAAGTTTAGAATATTGCAGAGTAAGAACATTTTTACCACTGGAAGAATTATATTTTAATTGTGTCTATTTTCAGAAGGCTATCCTAAACTGTTCATGGAAAAGGAAAGCAAAACATTCTAGCTCAAAACCAGAGATATATACCTCTAATAGGGATTTAATTTTTTTACCTTAATGGCCCATTTTACTTACTACCTACATTTTCTGAAGCCTAAAGACATTGTAAATTATAAAAAAATAAAAATAAAAAAATAATAAACTTCACCAGCTGCAGATCAGAGTTTTAAAACCTAAGAGTTTTAAAAATAAATAACAAAAAGGTTAGATCCTAGTTTGGACGTTGAGTTATTTTTGACATTATTTGATACAAGAACTCAACATGGATGTTTTTGAAGTATGGTTCTCGTTAACATTTGGATAGAGTACATTTCCTTTTCTTGATTCAATCATGAAAAAATTCCACTTACAGATAGTCCATACAATAGTGCAACCTCTTTCACACATTACTACATCATAATCCATTTGGCTGCACTTGCTTCAAACAGGTCCACTCTACCCATATGGCCTGGCTTTATTATTTCTTGCTCCCATCTGTTTTACGTTATCTTCTTTGGGCTGTGTTTTACTGAGAGATGCTCCTCAGCCACATGCAGAAAAGGCTGTTTCTGAGAGAAAATGTGAACAACAGGGGATTTTTATGCTCTCACATCTGTGGGAGTTCACTGGAGTCAACTGAGCCTACTGCTGTAGATTTTGGCTCTGCAAAGTCTGTTAAAGCCCATTTTGTCTGCGTGGTCTAAGATTTCATTACAAAACCCTAGACACCTGGTTTGGAAATCCTTGATTCATGTGAATATTCCTGCTGAAGAGCAGTCCTGCTAAAAGATGTCTTTTATTTTCCTTTTCCCATTCACCTGTTTCCCTCCTCATCTCACACACTGGGTCAGTGAGTCCTGACCATGTCCCACACCCTGGAGAAGCAGAAGAACCATCCTTGCCCCAAAGCTTTGTCATCCTCAGCAGACAAATTAAGTCAAAATCGACAAGAGATTTCTACTGTCTACCCCAGCCTTTGATGAGTCTCAGGTTGGGCTGGGAAGCCAGGAGGAGCAAACTCAGCTCACAAGACCTTCCCCTACCCTCCAGCCTCACTGCATGCTCATGGAGTGGTTGGGACCATGGAAGCCACTGCCTTGTTAGGAAGTCCACAATCTTCTCCTTTCTTGTTCTCTCCTGAAACTTGATGTTCCTGACATAGTGATGCCACTTGACATTACTGATCCCTCCTAAACACCTGCTATCAAATGCATCAAATCTTTTCTTGTCAGCTTGCGTAATGCCCCAGGTCTTTGCAGCATCGAGCAAAACTGATACCACACAGCTGTTGTAGAGCCTTATTTTTTGTTTTGCGGACATGTCACTGCCCCATGCTTTTGCCCTTGAATTTATTTGCATTGATATTCACCTTATACTGGTCAGGCTTCAAAGGACACTAGATGAAATCCAGGCAAAGTGGTCCAGAGTACTGGAAATGGGAATAAAATATGAACCCTGCCATGACTGCAAGTGACCTAAGAGAGGAAAGACAAAGCCAATATTTCCTTTCCTCCATAGACCCAAAGTCATTATTTAATCAAAAGCTTTGATGTTTATTTCCAGTAAAATCTTCAGGTTTTAGGATTTTTCTTTTAAGGTGATCACTGGCCTTTGGGCTCGCCAAAGATGAGCCAGAGGATTTTCAATTCTTGTTGATACATATTGTCTATATGAATACCTTTAGAAAAGGAGGACAGAATGAAGCAGATCTTAAATAATGTGTTAAGAATGAGGGATGGGTTTTCTTTTTCAGAAGTGAAAATTCGTGATGTTACTAAATTTACTGAAGTTCTGCACTTCAGAAGAAGTGAAAAAATAACACAGAGAAAAAAAATTGGAATTAAGAACTCTGTGCAAAATTGCTTTTGTTTCTCCAGAGGTTGCAAGACCATTTATTGCAATTTTTAAAATACTTTCTGACTTTTAAAATTTACCTAAAGAATGTAAAAGAAAACAGACATACCTTGATCGCCTTGACTTTTAAATTAACCTTTCCTGATTTATTTTGTCTTCTGTTAAATCTTTCTTTGTCTGAGTAAGTGTGAAAGAATAGAAAGGGGTGTGTACATT